ACGCAAGCATAGCTAGAATCACCCAAGCTATAGGAGATGCAATGCACGCGGCGGGAACACCAAATAGAGAAAAAGGCCACTCCGCCCCATGGTGGACAGAGGACTGTAGAGTGGCGTATAAGCGGCATATCCAGGAAAAGTCGGACTATGGCCAATCCCCCTCAGAAGCCACCCGTGCGTTCCTAGCTACGGTACGAAAAGCCAAGAGAACGTACTGGCAGCAGCGCATAGACGGCTGTAATAACGACAAAGATCTATACAAGCTAGTAGGCTGGCATAAACTATCATTCGACCAACGGGACACCCCACTTGTAATCGAAGGTAGGACAATCACAGCACCACTCGAGAAAGCTGAGGCACTTAGAGAGGCAATCCTCGACCGTTTTTCGGCGGAGGACGACCTCCTAGAACCACCGCCTCTTGACAACGACCCGCAAACCACGCTCGCAACAATCAATCGGATCGGCATGATTGATTCCTATCTAGGTTAAAGGCTGCCTAATGAAGTAATTCTTTAACCTATATAGGAATCAATCATGTCAATCGATTGATTGTTGCGGAGTCTGCCGCAAACCACGCCACTACCATGGGACACATACATATCGATGGAGGAGACTGAACGCTACGTGATTGGAGTATCTAGCACCTCCCCAGGACCCGATCAGGTGACCGTCCGACTCCTAAAGGCATGCTGGGAACACATTAGACACCTAGTGCTAGGCATCTACCGGGCGTGCATGGAACAAGGCCACTACCCAGCCGCCTGGAAGACGGTAGAAGTGGCCATGATACCCAAAGTCGGGAAGAAGGATAAGTCCTCACCCAGATCAATGAGACCAATTGCCCTATCGTCCTGTCTAGGGAAGGGACTCGAGCGTATCATAGCAAGGCGCATAGCACACACAGCTATGGCTTTTGACATCCTAAGCCCACAGCACGGTGGAGCGCTGCCAAAACGCTCTGCGATGGACCTGGCGACCGCATTCACACACGACGTGGAGATGGCTTGGTCAAGACACGAGCATGTCTCTATGCTCACGTTAGACGTCCAAGGGGCGTTTGACGCGCTACTGAAAAACAGGCTACTACACCGAATGCGGCAACAAGGGTGGCCACCCCTACTCCGGAAATTTATCCAGAACTTCCTGTCGGAAAGGAGGGTGCGAGTACGCCTAGGCAATGTCACTACACCTGTACATCGAGTGGCCTGCGGCACCCCGCAGGGATCGCCGCTATCACCGGTCCTATACACCCTATACCTAGCTGAACTACTCAACCAGGACCGAAAACTCCGGTTCGGGTATGCCGACGACATCAACCTATACCGGGTCTCCCACTCTTTAGACGAGAACGTCGCACTGCTAGCAGAGGACCTCAAATCTATCAATGAATGGGGAGCTGCGAACAAGATCACGTTTGCACCAGAGAAACGGGAGCTGATCCACCTCACGCGCCAGAAAGGACTACATGCGCCGCCAATCCAATTGGAAGATCAAACAATTCACCCTATAGCCCCTGCGCAGGGGGGAAGCCAGACTGCGCTGCGCTGGCTTGGGGTGTGGTTTGATAGGGGACTAACTTTCAAGAAGCACGTCGCAGAAAGGGCGGCGCAAGCTAGGAAAGTAGCGAACCATCTCCGGAGCCTCGCCAACACAGCCCACGGCCCTCCAGCAGGATCGCTACGCAAGGCAGCCATAACATGTATCCTGCCCATACTACTATACGGAGCCGAAACATGGTACGAGGGCAGGACGAAGAACCCACGAATTGCAAGGGTTTCCCGTAAACCCACGGTCAGCACTAGGGTAGGCTGGCACCTAACCACGATAGATCAGGCACTAATAGCAGCCACGAAGGCAATCCTCCCTGCGTGGAGGACAACACCAAACGCAGTACTGCTAAGAGAAGCTGCGATGCCGTCGGCACAGGTGGCGCTAGAGGAGGCCAAGCTCCGCTTTGCAGTTCACCTACGCACAATAGACGACAAGCACCCACTTACTAATAGAACTACACTGCCACTAGTCATACGAGGACGCGCAGCGGGCAACCGACGGATACCAAGATCGAAGGTTCAGCGCGTAGCACAACTGCTACCCGCCACACCCCGAAACGTCCTAGCCAGCCCTCACTTTTCAGACGGGTCGAGGCAGGATCCAACGCAAGGGCAAGGAAAGGACATTGCTGCCCAGAATTTCACCATCTGGTGGGAGTCTCTTGGACAAGAGACAATCACTGTCTTCTCAGACGGGTCTGAACAACAAATCAATGGTACAAGGGTGGTCACTTACGGGTACGCTATATACCAGGGCCAGGCCGCCGTGGCGACTGGACAAGGCTCACTAAATGCCCTTAGCCACGTCTTCGATGCAGAGGCTATAGGCGCGTGCAGAGGACTCAAACACGCACTACAACTCTCACTGCCTAGCCAGAGGGAGATCGTACTCTGCATAGACAGCACTTCGGTAATATGGGGCATACGCGGAGCCGCCCCTGCCTCCTCCCAATGGGCGTTCCTCCAAATTCATGGAGCTATGGAGGCCTACAACGTGAAAACGCGGTGGGCGCCGGGACACATGAAGATTGTTGGAAACGAGCTCGCCGACCAGCTGGCTGACAACGAGGCCAAAGACCCGCACCAGCCATACGGCATGGCCGCCTCCCCTACAAGATCCGGTATACGAACAGTAGGCCGCCGCCTCCTCGAACATACAAGGGACACTTGGTGGCAGGATAAGAGCAGTAGGCTATCAGCATGGTACACGCAATGGCAGCTGCCATACGATACTAGGCGCACGCCCGCAGCGCTATGGCTACCCCGAAGGATACTCGCGAAAGTCCTTATGATACGCTCAACGCATGGCGACTTTGAATGGTACCACCGAAAATTCAACCACGAGGATACCTCGAAATGCCTATGCGGCAGGCCCAAGACGCCAGAACACCTAGTGTTCTGCAAGAGAGCCACAACACACTTCAAGAAGTGGCCTCTACGCCCCATCGTGCCCCCTCGCACAAGACAGGAAGGCCTAGCGTACCTCGCGCAATTAATAGACCAGCCACAAGAGTTCGAGACCTTCGTGAAGGTAACGAACTCCTTCTATGACGAGTGATTTCTATTTTTGAATTTCACAAAGACCCGCTGAATTCCTTGGCATTATTCAGTGTAGGATTCGCGGCAGAACGCCGCATAGATGCCACAACCCACACGCTCTCTTTCAAACTTTTCATTATATCTCAAACTGCCTCTTGTTACTTTTTCGTTTCTCTCTCTAAAAAGCAGTTACTGTACTGCATCGATCAAAGGCGCAAGCCACGAAATACTAGAATATTGTAGGAAAACGGCTTCAAATGGCGGGAGTCCTTTTCACGAACATGTATATAGGCAGGACATCACTCCCCTTAGATACAAAACACCTAGGAATAGGTTCCACGAGGCAAGTGCGACAGCACTACAAGACCACTGCGGGACCCGCCCGAATACCCTATGGGAGGTTACAGATAGGGCGTTAAACCATAATCAACATCAACATCAACCCAGAGCTACATTACGTGGCCGCAGCGTCAACCTCCCACAAAAATTTAGATAGTACAAGTTGATCGCAAGCATCTAGTTACTACACTACTACGTTTTTATGAATATTGAGCTATTGTGTGGCGTTGTACGGCTTCAAATTTGAGATCGCTGAGATGGTGTTCGCGGGGCGTTGCGCGAATCCGGGCGTTGCGCGCACGGGCACGTTAACCTTCTACTCGCTTGAATAGAAGTCATCTTAACCGTCACATATCGCCACCAGTAGCAGACGTTTGGAGAGTCGAATAGGCAGTATAGCAACGATAGAGGCAGGTGCACCAATCATTAGAGCTTTAGGAAGTAGCCTTCTGTAACTCTCCTGCAATATCATTCTATCTACCTATGCTTAACAGCCAGATCGGCTTGATCGAAATCCATTCTGTGTATTCTACAAAATACGATAAAACTCATCGTGTACTTGTACTCGTAGCCACTCTTTAGAAAGATTGGCGTCGCTGCTCTCGTCCTTTTGCCTATAGGAGCTGACAAAGTTTAAAGATGCTGCTGTCGGCCATAAGGGCTGCGAAACTGATGAAGGTGGAGAAAACGTGCGTGAACTTGTTGTATTGGAGCTACGGGAGAAGGGAGAATATCTATGGTGCGCGCACGGAGCAGCTGACTAATCAGTGCCTGGCCAATCAGAGCACGGGAAGCCTGATTCACCGTGAATACTAGTGAAGGCTCTCACCGCGTCTCGACAGAAACTCCTTGAATTATTGAGAAAACGAAGGGGTCAAGTTCCCGGCTTAGCTGACTTCCCCTAGGATATACATTGGTTATGTATGTAAGGAGAGCTGGGAACCTTTGTTTAGGAAAGTTGCGGTTATTACTAGGTATGTTAGAAAATATTGAGAAGCTGACACTATTAGTAGTAGTATGACTACCTAACAGAGCGCTCTCTAAGGCACAACGGTAGTGGTGGTACAGATTCGTATTGTATTGACTAAGGAGCTATTCACACGTTCGTAGATCCGTGTTGCGTGCAGCTGCGTCCAAGCTCCCCGCTAGGACCCACCTGCACGTGTCACCAATCATGTGACTACTCCTCCGCTTGATACCACCAAGTCACTTACGGACTGTATTCTCAACATATCCTATATATAGTGGCTCCTACGGCAGCCCTGGCTGTGGCAGACATGCTCCAGGGTGCACCTCGTCGAAGTCGTCGTCCTCGCAGCTCAGCCAGCCCGTGTTGCGGGACGCTGTCACGCAGAGCGAGACGGTAGTGGGGCCACGGCGCGCATCGTTTATTGATGCGAGGTGGCGGAGACTCTGGTCTGGGGCTGTCTGATACCCATGCCCGTCGAGACAACCATAAAATCACGGCAAAATGGGTTTTGGCTGAAGCTGGTGCAGGGTACCATCAACCTTGTAGCCGCCCAGCTCAGTTGCCATTTCGATGCGTTCCTGGGCCCCGAAGGCCTGAATGATGGCTCCATTTCCAATTGGCAATAAAAATCGTGGAGAAGTGCTGGATCCGGCAGATCGACCGCCGCAACTGAACATGGCCTACCTAGGTAAGTTAGAGCTTAATGACGATTCACTCGACCAGGCTAGGGGTTCTCTTCGATCGCAGATTTGCTGCGTCGATGTAATCATTGGAGGACTTTTGGCTGCGGTAGTTTTGGGAGAGGTGCCTCGGTTCGACTGTACCATGGTACCAGTGTCAGTACCGTATTTTGAGCGCACACTGTGACTCACCCAGGGAGTATATCTTCAGAGCTGAAGATACCCGATATTCTACACTCCAAGACAAACATCATGGCGAGCGATCCTATCAGCCCAGCGATCAGCAACGGTGCCATGGCACCTCCCGACATGATCCCGTGTTTCCCTGCTCGCATAAGCTCCTTTTTCGGCATACACAAGGTCGCCAACGTCACCGCCGCTCTCTTGATCGAGAAAAACAAAGCCTCAGAGTCTATGACCTGTACCTCAGCGAGCACGGAACGACGCCTCCTAGTCGCTGCGTTGGAATGGCTCTGTCGTAGTTGACACTGACAAGTCGGACAAGAAGATGTAGCACTTGTGCCGCGATCTTGTATCTGTCGATGCAGCATGCAGGTGTGTTGCTGCAGAGGTACTGCATGTTATCATGAGCTGCCTTTTTAACGCAGAACTGGAGCTTTTTGTGACCTTTTTTTCGGCGCATGTTTTCGCTTACTAGTATCCGACAAGGACCTTTCAGTCGATCCATCTGTGCGATAGGATGGTTTAGGATGATATCGGTTTGCCGCGAAAGTTTGTTAGGCCTGCCCAACTCGTCGAGGTAGAGAAGCCACATGCCGCTTGCGGCTTGAGTTTGGCCAAGGAACGATGGGGCAGGAACTGCTTTTTCGAGAGTAATATGGTCGGGACCGAGCACATGAAGCTCAAGCTCGACTACGATCAAGGCAGTAGCACCAGAGAGATGTATTGCCAAGAAGATTATGTAGTCTCTGATACCAGCTTATCTTCCATCCAGATGAGTGGATGCTATTTCTAGATTAGGTATACGGTGTTAGACGTATTTTTACCATTTAGAGCTGCGGTTAGCGGACCCTCTTCCAGAAAACTCTGTTACGTACCTCCGCCGCAAGCACGCCTGACAAGTGGCAACTGCATTGTTACAGAGAGTATCGTATTAACTCAAGTCGATCGAAATTTGCGGCTGTTTCATTCTGCTCTTCTCCACTCCTCGATAACTACACATTTCTACCGCAGCATCCTCGTAAGCTGAGCCTTTGGGTGGGTGATTAAGGTCCAAGGCATGCTTTACAAACTTTCGGTCACGTGCTGGGACTTATGACTTGCGCAGCACCATTTGTACGCCAAAGGAATTACTTGTCACATGTTCGCACTCACTCTTAGCTCTAAGGTTTCGAACGCCGTGGAATGTCACCTAGTTATGATTGGCCAGTTTAGATAAACCCCACTTTTCTAAATTCCCAGTCCTGCTTAGCCAGCGCGCAACCTGTCGCTTCGCTACATCTCACCGCTCACCGTGGTCTTAACTCATGGTTTGAGCTCACTTTCACTTTCTTATTCAGCAAAACCACACTACTTCAGCTTGCTATGCTATGCGATAACTCTGAACACTTTCTCCCAGTTCAAACCCGCTTTTTCCTGCGCCATGGCCGACCTAGCAACTGAACAAAAACCAAACGACAATGGATCTTATGAAAACGACTCCACCGAGCTAAGTGGCTCTCACCATAATGACGACCACTCCGACGAAACCGCCCCGCGCGACCGCATCATTAGCGTCCTCCCTCCGGACAACGACACCACCGTCGCCTACGTGGGCTCCTGCATCACGGACAATTCCAGCAGTGCTCGAGAAGATGGCGACAACGACAAAGACCATGGGGCCAAAGTCAACAAATACCATGTTCACATCGAGGAGGACAATGATGGCAAACACTACCTCATATTCTTTGGTAACCCTAGCGCGACGGAGTGCGACGAGCCCGAGTCAACATCTGTTCTCCAGTCGCCTTCCGCACCTGGCCCGTTCAAACACTGCCGCATGACCATGTCTGAAGGCAAGCAGAAGAGCGTTACCTAACAAAAAGGAAGCGACTGTCATCACCCGCATCAAGGTGCCCTTCTTCCAGCTCGCCCATCAACAACAATGGCGACGACAGCATCAAATTAGAGGGCCGGGCGTTGTCGGTCGAGTCTTACCCCGAAGAATTGGTCTAAGTGTTAGATCTCCAACACTAAGACAAGCATACAATGAGACGGGGCTTGTGCTTCATGTAGCTTGGGTTCAGTTGACGGGCTGGGCATAGTTGTATATACTATCAGCAAATCTGGAACAGGAATTGCATGGAGTAGGGTGGGAATCCCGCAGATGAAAGACCGATTGATAATTATATCATGTTTGTCATGATGAGGACAGCCAATCAGTGAACTCAATCATGCTCAATATTTTCTCTCATCTTCTCCCTCCAGGCTCTCACACGTCCCTCCTTCTGGTCCTATTTGTCCCCCACTGCACGCTCAACTGATGCCCCCTACTAGGGTATGCCTAGCTATTCCCCTCAACTTCTTTGTCCTTCTCGTCTCTTTCTCTTTCACAGATGTTGAGTGAATGTTGCCGGATGGGGCTCCGCGGATGGCGACGTGGCAAGACTTGAATATCCCACGTAGAAACTTGCTGAACGCCGCCTTGCACCTTGAGAGGCTCTAAAAGAGCCGCAAGCTCCTCGGTGGGCTATAAGTCTAGCGTTAGGTGTACCTCAATGCCCTCCAGATACAAATGCGTGTAGGAAGGCGCCATATCTGCAGCGAGACGCTGCACCACTCCTGCGACGTGTAAAGATCTTGATGTAACGTACTGACTGCAATGCTTATTCAGGCGAACCCACGAGAAAAACATCCCGTCAGATTCTTTCCTGTGGTACTACCCTTTACACGGGCATCTTAATGCGCATTGCATTTATCTAGTAGCGACATTTGTGTGGTATGCTTTTTTATTTTGGTACAGACATGTTTTTTGTCTCTCGGGATAACAAGTCCTGGAAAGCGCCTGCGAATGAAATATTGGCTACTGATTCTCTAGGCTAGATCCAGCCCTTGTAATGGAGGCGCAGGAATTTCTCACTAGCGACGAATGCCTGGAAGAAAACCTTTATAAGGACGCTCGTTACGGATTTCGTGAGCAATATCTTGCCCCGGATGCTGCAAACTTAATAATAGATTGTCTCTTGCCTTGCTGCAAGGTCGGAAAGAAATTAGACCTCCATTACCCCAGCAGCGAGTGCTTGATGACATTTTACTGAATTTTCTTAAATTTTCTAGCGGCTGCATCTGATACTGTCAATTTGTTGCCCTCGGCAAATAACTACCTTCGATTGAGTGGGGGTTTGATCACTATTACGAGATTTGCCAGATATACCGTTCCAGAAGGTTTTGCGTGTATCTTTAGCAGAAAATACGCGATAAAAAAGATAGAAGCGATTCCATAGAACCATGAGGTCATGAATGAGTATACTAGATGGATAGTGAAAGTCTGAAATACTATTCAGCGGCAAACTGGAATGACGAGAGTATCCTACGACTAAAAGTTACCTGCAAAAAGGTCGAAAATAGTCTTATCTACAACCCAGATATTCTGTAGCTACCTAGAGGGTCAGTTTCACCTTCGTCGCCTCAACTTGAGTTTGGTACGCCAAGGATGAGTACCGTGGTACTGTAAAGGAGATAGAAAGCGCGCGCGAAGAGTCCATCTACCGTACCTCTCACAGCAACAGAACGAGCCGCGCGACTATCAAAGCAAGGCTCGCAGTCAAGAGCATTGCAGTATACACCCTCACCAGAAACCGCCGAAGGGAGTTTCAGAAACTCCACGAGATTCGCCTACGAGAGTATCTCCGGAGATAACCCACTTCTCCTCATCATCAAGGCCTGTAACGGGGTGAGTAGAGGAGGGGGACTGCGTTGCATTGTGTAGCTATGGAGGAACTGCAGCTATATAGGTGTGTGTGATGAGAAAGTGTGGTAGCGATAGCCGTACCCAACTCTCACCCAAGTCGGTCTTGGCAAGGCCCAAACCGTTACACTCCCCCCCAGCTGCCGTGATCAACAAAGCTGACTAGTGCCAGTGCCATAGCTCGGTTGGTTCTGGTGTGTTTACCTGAGTAGTAAGAAGCTGGCGAACATTTTCAAGCCCTAGCTGTCTCACAAACTCGGCGTGTTTCTGCCTTATGAGGGACTTTGTGAGTCCATCTGCAGGCATCTCTGCTGTAGGGCACCACTCTACCCAGAGCCTTCCTTCCTGTACCTCCTGTCTTACCCACATCTGATGGGTGTCTATGTGTCTTAGCTTCATGTGAAGCCGTTCGTGTTCTTTCTTAACGATCCCGACCGTCTGCTCGTTGTCGCAGTAGATCGTTGGTTGAATCTCCGGGTCGAACTTGATATGCTGGAAGACCCGGGTCCACCATTCCATCTCTCCTCCGGTTGCTGATAGAGCTATCAGCTCAGCCTTAGTTGTCGACTTCGTAACGGATCTCTGGCGGGTAGCCTTCCAGTCGATAGGCACCCCATAGAGCTTAAATAGATACCTATGAGATGATTGACGACTTTCCACATTGCCAGCAAAAGCTGCATCAGATGCTCCATAGAAGAGAGACTTGTCCCAGACGTAGGACGAGTTCTCAGCTATCTGCTGGCTAGCTCTAATCGCTAGATGTCTTGTTCCATACAGGTATCGCCAGACATGCTTTACTGCCGATACGTGCTTCTGCCCAGGGTTCTGGAGATGCCGGGCCAGTACGGAGTGGGCTCGTACCACATCCAGCCTCGTGAACGTCGTGATATACGCCAGCGATCCAACCAGCTGCTGGTACAGCTGAGTACGCTGGTTACTCGTATCCTCGGTTGACTGGGCCAGAGAGTTCTCTACGAGCGGGACTGCTGGATATCTCCCCCCTAACTTCTGATCTAAGTCATACTTGTTGACTACCTTCTCAATAAATGAGTCCTGTGTTAGCCAGATCGTTCCTGCTGTCTAGTCTCTCAGAACTCTGATCCCAAGGAACCACTTGAGCTCTCCAAGCTTTCTCAGGTCGTATACCGCCTCCAGTCGTCTCTCAAATTCCTGATGATCATCAAGGTGACCCGGATGTACCAGTACCACGATATCATCAACATAGAAGAAGACTATCAGTCTCTCGTTGGTAAACAAGCAAGGAACGTCCTTAACTGATTTCAGACCCAACTTAATCAGCGTCTCCTTCAGGTACTTGTACCAGAGAAGAGGCGCGTCTTTCAGCCCATAAAGAGCTCTCTTAAGCTCGAGTACCTTGCCAAGCTCTTCTACGTACGGATCTAGAGTCTGTACGTAGACTAGCTTCTCAAGAGGTGCGTTCAAAAACGCGTTTAGCACATCATACTGATATGCTTTTAGGCCAAACGCTGCCGTAAGAGCCATGAGAAATCTGAACACTCGTGCGGCCAGCGTGGCTGCGTACGTGTCGCCCCAGTCCTCCTGGAGGTCTCCTCTCACAACAAGCCGAGCCTTGTACTTGTACAGAAGTCCGTCTTCATCGAACTTGTACGTGAATACCCACATCAAGGGCAATCTCTGGCTATCAACCACTATGGCTGACGTTGTCTTGAAGCAGCCCTTTTCACGACAGCTCTTGAATTCTTTCGCTGCTGCCGCTTTAAATTCCTGTCCAAAAGGGTGCTTCTCTAGGTCTTTCCATCTCTTTGGCGGAGGCGGAAGCTCATCCCTGTGTAGCCGTGATTTCTGTGGCTCTGTTTGCTGAAGTGCTTCGGCGAACGCAACGAAGTACGTGCCGAGTGTCTTCCTCTGTCTTTTTCCCGTCAGAACGTTCGACTTACTGACTTAACCGCTAATCTCCTCACGTCTTGGAGCGTTGTTCAATCGTCGATCTGGTGCCTCTGCTTCGACTGGTATCTGCTCCCGACCTCGCGGCATCTCGACTGTTTCCAGCTCGGGCTCGGGCTCGGGCATCGATTCTGGAGTGCTCTCAGGTGTTGGAAACGTCCGAGACGTATCCTTGGCGTGGTCTGTTCGAGCGGCTTGCTCGGACCGGCTCGGACCACTCCAGTCTCTTTGCGCCGACTTTAGGAGCAGTTCTATCTCCTGGTCGGTTTCTTCTAGTTGTTCTGGAACGTCTAGTATCGTCAACACCTCTCTCAGAGTCTGTCGATCTGGGTAGACAGGCTCAGTTCCATTATTAGACATGAAGACGACGTCTCTCGTCCTGAGGACTCGTCCTAAGGACTCGTCCCAATGCTGGCATCCATACTCGGTATATGTTCGTGGAGTCATATCCAACCAGCTGTCCAATCAGCGCGCGAGATTCGAGCTTCTCTCCATGCTTCAGCTTGTTGTTTAGCACGTAGGCTCGTGCTCCCACAGCATTGAGGTGAGCTGCCGATGGCTTCTGTCCACGTACAACCTCGTACGGGGTCTTCCATCCGAGTGATTCGACGGGTGTTCTGTTAAGCAGATAGACTGCTACTAGGCAGCACTCATTTGAAAGCTCCATTGGTAGTCGTCCATCAATCCTGATCGCTCTCGCTCGGATCACGATCATCTTTCCCGCCTGTTCTGATAGGCCGTTCTGCTCCTCTATGTACTCAGCTCGGAGTTCCACAATAATACCGAGTGTTGGTTGGCTTTGCACTAAGTGCGAAAAGGGAAATAACGATAACTTAGGAATGCATTCTGTTCGGTGATAGTTCTGATTGATTGTCTTACGAAGGAGAACTATGGAAGAGCTAGGTATAGGAGGTCTGGTCTGAGCGCTGCCCGGACGCCGCGATCAGTTCGCCTGCTCGCGTGACCGAGATCAGTGCGGCCGATCGCGTGGCTGAGATATCGTTGATATCTGTGATCCGACACCAAGATCTTTAAGCACATGGAGCAACTCGCTGTAGCCGCGCTCGTTGTGAAGCTTCACGACTACTACGACCGCGCCGAACTGGCGTTTAATCTTAGCTAGTAGACGCATCACTGTGCGCTTAAGGGTGCCTGAGCTCTTGTCTGGTAGGCAGCATGTCTCATGCCACTTACTGTACGAACACACTGCATGGAGCCTCCATAGATCTCCATTGTAGCAGCGCTCGTTTCTTTCCCTTAGGTGCACTAGGTCCATACCTATTCGGTAGAACGGACGTTCAGCTGGCTCACTTTGAGCTCTCCTGCTCACAAACTTGTGAAGCTTCGTTTCAATACAAACTTGACAGTCCGTCCATGTCGGAGCGATTGCCTGCTCCTCGACACTGATCCCGATCACATGATCGTTTAGGTGCCCAACTGCTTTTCGGCTGATATGGCCGAACATCCGATGAGCCGTGTCCTGACTGACTGAGGGATCCTTCCTCGGTTCCTTTGAGGGCTTGGTATATCGAGTCGCGTACGTAGAGAGTAGATCTAGCTCAACTTTCTGGTCTTTCTCCACGTCGACGAGCCAGTGGCCGTCTCTGTATTGGAGAAGACAGATTATGTTCGATGCCTTCTTCTGATACAGACAGTCTCTGCCTGAGTCAAAGTTTATGCCGAGAGATCGGCTCCGCGATAGACCAACGACGCTCGTGAAGAAGCCAGGGATGTACGCCACCCATGTAAGCTTCATGTGTCCTTCTCCTGTCGGAGTCTTGACCTGGATAGTCGTTTCTCCCCATTCTTCGACCTGAGTGAGGGCTCCTCCAGCGTATACACAGTCTGAAGGCCTACCTCTCTTTGTCAAGATCCAGTCGGCTCCTTTCGTATTCGTGACGTGGCAGTTCGAACCTAGATCAAGTATCCATCTCGTGAGCAGTGGTGGAGCTAATAGTCCTGTAGCTACAGCAGTCTGCAGCACCGCATTAACGTGTGGCTTATCGCGCGCTGGCTGTCCATCGTCCATACTAATCATGGACGAGCTCTGGAACTCAGCCTGCGGCTTTATCTTCTTCCTAAGGCCCTGCTCTGTTGCTCTTAATGCGTTGGCCATCGAATTCGACGTAGGACTGTCTCTAAGCTCTGTGAACTTGTCCTGAATTGCCTTGTCTAGATTCTAGCCCTTTGTCCGAACCGACTAGTTAACATACGGGCAGTTGTTGAATTTGTGGTTTTCTCCATCAAGACACTTCGGTATCCATGGTCCTAAGCGTGTACGAGCTCCTTGGCTATTGCTACTGCTTGCTACCTCGAGCGTAGCAAAGGTTCTAAGTCCTGACGCGATTGAACGTGTACGTCGGTAGTACGATCTAAACTCTGCGATTAGATCTGCGATTAGTAGAAACTCTTCGTCTTTCTATTCCTTCTTAATAAGGTCCTGTAGCTGAGTAGCTGCCCAGCTATCGTCTAGGCCTCTAGTTGACAGGATAAACTCTTCCTGCGCTCTTTTGCTAGTCGTCTCTGGCATCTTAGCCTCCGTGAGGAGTCGGGTGATCGTCACCCACTCGTCGAACCATGTGTCTAAGTTTGCCGTCTTTGGTCTCGTGCAGACTGCTGTGTACCGAGCTCTGAGTTGGTGGTTCCTCTGTCCAATCGATGGACAGAGGTGCTTCTTTAGTGTTCTCAGCTGGCTATAGGCGTCTGCGCAATCGAGAATTAGGTCTAGGTGTTTGACGTCAATTGTCTGCACGATCTCTAGGCTTAGGGTTCGGAGAGCCTTCTCCTTCGTGAGCCACCTGGCCTCGTCGCGATCGAATCGTCTAGCCCATGAGTTGTACGTAGCGAGCTCTGTCGCTGTTAAGTCTGGGATGTCGATCTGCTCGTCTGTAAGAGGATTTCGAAATCTCCTCACTTCGAGCTCTTTGGGTCTTTCGTCTTCCAGCATCTTCAGCCTCTCTGGCGAAAGATCTAGGTTAACGTACTCCCACAGACTATTTCGGTCTGCGGATATCTTCCTCGTGAGCAACCATTTCGACCAATCGTCTGGCTTTCGGAGGGTAACTGACGCTCTCGCCACCTGCATTTCGTGCTCTTGAGTCGCGCGGGAGTCGGGGTCGTACGCTCGCTAAAAGCCGCATGACTGCCAATCCGCTGGTTACGTAGTTAGGTTAATGCGTCGCACATCAAGGGCCGCGGATAATCTACGCCGGCTGCTTCTCTGAACACCCGGCGGGTTATATAAGTGACAGGATTTGGGCGTAAAGAAATACCATAAGTATTGTCTATCTATGCTTGGTTGCTACGCCACAAGCCGTCCTTAATACGCCTTATCCTCGTCTGTCTGGTCGTCCTCATCCAGCTCGACAGTGTAGACGTCCTGGTACTTGGATGGCTTCACTACCTGTATTGCGATTTTGTCCGTCCAGAGCGCAAACATGGTCTCAACGTCAAGTTTGTGCAGCTGCAGGCCTGCGAGGAAGAACACGAAGTCGCCCGGGCCAACATATAGCTGGTGGCTTGTCTTTAAGAACCCCCGACGCCAAGGACGAGGATCATCGAGTAGTAGTGTCCTGTCCTATGTTAGCATTTGCGCCTGAGCTCATAACTAGGTGGGATAATGCCGCACCATCGTCGCCTCCGCCATGATAGTAGCTGGTGCCCTCGCTAGCCGATATGAACACGGCCATCATGCTCCCGATGCCGCCTATGCGAAAGAATGATTTGCGGGCGCGGCGAGGGTCCTTAGCAAACCAGGCCTTGTGAGCCTTGGCGGCGGCAGCGGCGTAGCTCTATCAGCGCCTGTACCTGTTCGAGTAGGCCCTTGGCCCTGTCCGGAGATATACAGTCGGTGAAGCGGATGGCGGCGTATCTGGAAATCTCGCGAAGTTTAGGTTTGGAATCGCAGCATGCGCGATGGTACTGTTGCGAGGACTTGACCAGGTGAATGCGCGGCTCACCGAGCATCTCAAACTGCAAGCTCCCACGAATCCGTCGCTATGCGACTCTCTGTTGCTCCTTCGCCTCTTGTCGCCGGGCTCTTAGGCCTGCCTCTTCTCAAGTCGCTTTGAGGACGGCTGAGGGCGGCAAAATGCGTGCGGCGAACAGTGGGCGTAGGGACACTGGAGTCGTGGAGCGGACGTAGTGGTAAGAGCGCTCGAAGATGAACCGCGGAAGCTCAGCAGCCTGGGACTCACCCTCGTTGAGAATACTGGTGGTGGATCGGGCGAGCCGCACCCTTTATCGCGAAGTGGGAGCAGAGATAGAAGTCAAACTCATATGGATGAGTGCAGCCAGACTCCACAAGAGTACTGGGCAGGGGGGTTGCCGTTGCGATTGCCCTTGCCGACTTCAGGGAAGAAGCGGATGTGGTGGCGCTTGCCGGTAATGACAACGGTGAATTTAAGGAGCTCTTTGCAACCCAGCTTCTTGAAGCACCCCTTAAGTTGTTGACTTCCTCCTCAAGCGCAGCGGCGTGCCGTCCGTCCCCGATGTGGCCATGGGTGCGAAGGGGAGGCGGAGAGGATGTGGGGAGCGCGCTGATGCGGGCGATGGGTCGGGCCGCTGCTGAGTTGGCCTAGTTAACACTAATGACCCCAACAGCCAATATCAGGGAGATCACCACGGGAAACGTTAAACGACCACCCCATAAGACCCGAACGGGGATAGTGCCGGCGATCCGTCGCACCATCGTATTTGTATGGAAGCTACACCAAAACTGGATGTATTCGTAATTCTTGGCCACTGTATCGTATCTTTTGTAAAATATACGCTGTTTTGGGTTGTTTTGCGGGCCCAGGCATGGCAAAATGGGTTGTTTTGGCTACTCAAAGCATCGATTTCTGGGCCCTTTTGGCCATTTTTTAGATATTTCAACGGCTGTTACTATCGAACATTGTGCTGCCGAACACCCAGCCACATTGACGCGCCGGGATCGGATACCTAAAGCTAACATCTAGCTCTATTAATTGCGTCGGTATCCTAACATGAGGCTGCTGATAGTTTGTTGCCGGCGACGGCGGCGGCAATCGCTGAGGTTGAGCCTGATAGCTCAGTCCCGTTGGCGCTGTTGATGGCCACGCCGGCGCTGGAACCCGTGTATAACCGCCAATATACAACCCATTGTATTGCTCGTAAGTCCGGTAATCGATTGACGGAGCGGGGTGAGGCTGGCGATAGCTGTGAAAACTCTGCGACAGCGGTTGACGGCTCGATTAGGACGCTGGGATAGTGTCAGCCTGGCACCTCAGTTCACCTGGTACACTGTGAACTGTATCTCACGTGACTCCTCGTCACCTGCTTACTCATCTCGGTTGTGTATATAATCGCTCTATGTAGCTCTCTCAATACAACAACCTTCTTCCTCTCCTCTGCCCTGTCCTACATCCGACAGATAGCTTGCAACGGGCGCTGTTGAAGCCTCCTGGAGCGAAAGTTAGCTGTGAAATCTCTGCAGGAAGCAATACTCATCTCCTCATCTTTACCCCCTCCCCCCGCTCGCCATCGCCATCAAAGTTGTATACCTCAGCTATGGCGAGCGGAGGGGGGAAGAGCTTATATCGTACCCACGGGCTAGCTGCTGGCGCGAGGCAGGTAAAGCTGGCGACTGAAGGCTAGGTAAAGGCAGCTATTGGCTAGATTGTTGGCCAGGTACAGGCCATTGCTGAGCCGGATACAGCGCCGTGGTTGCTGTCGTCGGCGTCGTGGAGGCTGGCTGTTTAGATTGAAACACGAAGACATTCTCCGCCGGTACTGATGACTCTGTCATCCGGGCAGGCAGCGTCGACGGCGGCGCCGCTGCTCTGTTGTTACTATCGAGACGCTCAAGTAGACTGGGGTCGCGGCGTCCGCCACGCTTGCCAGCGCCTCGCTGATGCCGGCGAGCTCGCTGTCGCCGCTGTGTTGACTCTAAAACCTGCAGCTCTAACGGGGCCATGGGACGCTCAGGTTCAGCAACACGCTCTCGAGTAACCCACCAATGTTGATGGAAATCGGTGACCCGGAGGACGCCAGAGGTGCGCCAAAGCTCGGTGAGTTGATGCCAACAAGGCCTGTTTTGGGAGGTCGAATACCGGCCTTTGCAACGAGTGAACTGGTACGTATTGTCGGCGGTCTGTCTATCAAGTTGGGCGCGAGCGTACTGAAATTATTCAGCTGTCTAGGCCTTCGCGTAGCGGGTTATCTATCACACAACGGCGTCAAAAATTAGACCTTAACAGTCAGAACGCGTCTTGCTGTTAGCTTGCTCATCGGACAACTCAATATAGCTAACATTCTCTTCGTAGAAAGAGTAGAGGCGATAAAATAGACTCCGTATGTCAGCTCAACTGCCGCCGAGCCAGTCCTTCAGCACGCGGTGAGCGCTCTCAGCTCTGCTCGTCGCCATGAGCCCAAAATATAGGTATTCGTCAACCCAATACTTCACCAGCTTCTCCTTGTGGTTATTAAGCCCGTACTACTCTAAGTAAGCGGTTGCCCGGCTCGACTCGCGCTCACAGGTAGCCAGGCGGGTGTGGTAGTCAGCTTCAGTTATCGACTTCATCAGCGACGA